CAAGATGATTATTCTTACACAATCAGTTCTTGTTTAGTAAATCAGTCTCAAAACAAGATCAAAAAGACTTTTTGGCTGATATAAGGTTTTAAAACTTGGTTAGGTGGACATTTTTTGCAGTGTAGGGTGAAAAATACAGAAATTACTATAAAAAATGTTATAGATCAGCTGGCTCAGACGCAGTCAAAAATAAAATATTTATATAAGCAATAGCCGACAAGCAACTTCCATTAAAAAAACATAAAAATAGTAAATTTAAACTTTTTATTTTAACCGTTCAAAACTTATTAAATAATTTCTTTAACTCCTAAAAACCCTCTGAAAGATTGATTTTATTTAAGGCAGATGAGGATGAAGAAGAGGAAGAGGAGGGGGAGTTGGCTTCATCAGGCCGGATGTCAGAAAGTCCCTCGGATGAGAGCTGCAGAGCTGGGGGGGGGGCATCGCTGGAAAAATGTGACCCCTCTGTGCCCCACCCACACATAAACACCTCCATCTCCCACTTCCTCCTGACCCCCAAGAATCTGAGCACGTGCACGCTCGTGCACGCTCCCTGCACACAGATGCATGCTCATGCACACTCGTGCACGCCGCACACCCGTCCCCTCTCTGTCTCAGCCTCAGATCCAGATCTTCACACGGTCCTGCTCACACCCTTAGACCCCCCCCCACCCCACAGCCCCCAGCTCAACATGTGGTTTCACTCTCTGCAGCGTCTCACGCACACACTCACATACCTTCAGACATCTTTTTTGAAAATTTCTGCACAACCGAAAGCAAAACAAAGAAAGAAAATCTAAGTTTTTACTGAAAACAAGAGCACTTGTTTAGTTTTTGCAAATAATAATTTAAAAAAAAACTCCTGCTTACCTTCCCTCAGAGTCCACAGATGAAGATGATACACACCTGAAGCTTTTTGTTTCACACACACACCCCCCCACACACACACACACACACACATCGTGGAGGTGATGAGAGAGGGGGGCAGCAGCGACAGGATGGCAGAGTGAGGAAGAGGAGCTGCATGTTTCTGCAGACAGGGAGGAAGAAGAGGCTCTGCAGCTGACCACAGACTGTCCCCAAGACTGACGGGGAAGGAGGGATGGAGGGGGAGAAAAAAACGAAGAAGAATGGAAGGGTGGGGGGGTGAAAGGAAGAAGGAGGAGCACAGAGTCACCCGGTTCACAAGCCGAAGCGGACCTCTGGTCATTTGGAGGGGAGGGGGAGGGGGAGGGGGGGCTTAGGCTTTAAAAAATGTGAGAAACTATAGGACCGGGAGGAGGAAGAGGAGGAAGAGGAGGGATTCACATTCTACACATCTGACATCACCAGTTTTCACCCTCTTTAAAAAACATCTGCAGGACTGTCGTCACCCCCCCCACCCCACCTCAGCCCAAATACACCCAGAAAAACCGATCCAGGTCTTCATGAGGACCGCCTGACCTTTGACCTCAGTTCTTATTCTCTAAACTTCAGGTTATGATTCTGTCTTCAACGTTTTTTTGGTCTGAATCATCAGGAGTTACGGAGTCAGATTCTACCACAGAACTTCTCTCTGATRGGGGTGGTGGGGTCTGAGTCCAGATGGGGTCCAGAGGCCGGATGCACCACGGGCTCAAGGGTAGGCCCTTCCTCAAGCCCTCTCATCACCCCCCCTCCTCCTCCTCCTCCTCCTCCTCAGCCCCCAGGCTCAGCAAACACACCCTGACAGGTTTCAGTTGGGTGGTCCCTCCAGAGCAGGACAGAACAGACATGATGAAGATCAAACATGAAGGTCATCTTCATCCAGATGTGTGGAACCAAACAAGCTTCAACATCTCACAACAACAAACTTGTTCAGGATGTTGGTTCTGTTGGTTCTATGATGTTCCACTTCAGAACATGATTTGCTTTATGCAAATAATTTTTTCCACATTAAATATGGTCTAAAGTTTCTGCTTGTTTTTCTAGTGTTTTCTGAGTTTCTGCAGCAGTCAGGATGTTTATCATCTGATCTGTGGATTTGTTTCCTTTTTTCCTCCAAACAGATGTTTTAACATCAGCAGATTGTTTGAAACATTCCTGCAAACAGTGTTCATCATCTGCAGAACAATGGAAGGATTCACAACAATCCATCCATCATCCAACCATCCATCCATCCATCCATCCATCCATCCATCATCCATCCATCATCCATCCATCATCCATCCATCCATCCATCATCCATCAATCTTCCATCATCCATCCATCATCCATCCATCATCCATCCATCCATCCATCCTGTTGGAGAACAGTCTGATCACCTCCTGACTGGCTCAAATTGGCAGCAGCTGCAGTCACTCTCCTAATGAGACTCTGGGCTTTAAAAGGCAGCTGTGATGATCAGACCTTCGCTGAAACATAACCACGGTTTGTTTTTGTCCCCCTGTGGATTATCCTGCCTGCCTGCCTGCCTGCCTGCCTGCCTGCCTGCCTGCCTGCCTGCCTGCCTGCCTGCCTGCCTGCC